GTGAACTGCAAACAATATCTTATTTACATCGTGTCTATGTGTGGCGTTTAGCATTCAGTAAATTCTGACAGTGTCACCCTGTATAGCATTTTGAGTTTCTGCTAGTGATTTCTATGGAGAAAAATCACTTCCTGCCCTCCAGCTGCATTTCGCGCGTCATCAGAATCACGTGATTGCAAACAACCTATTACCTTGGTTATGAGAGGGCAGGAAATCCCAGGTCAATAGGGTAAAAAATAACTAACAAATCACCATACTTCCCAGGTGACTGATTACATTAAGAATTGCAAACACTTGTTTGTATTACAAGTTTGCAAATGAGGCATTGTCTAATTAAATATCTGCTAAATTGCATACAATTCTAGAACAAAAATCTGAATATTGGATAAAGCCAGGTTCAAAATTCATGTCATTTAATTGACATACTTGAGTCAAAGGTTTTTATGGAGGGGATTTTGGATATCTCTTTTTATCACTCTATAAATCTGAGAATTCTGTCAACAGCCTGGGGTGGGGGGCATGTTCACCTTTTTTTTAAATTTTTTTATTAAATGTTGTTTAAAATCAAGCAAAATATAAGAACAAACCTCTCTGTAAAAACCTTTAGAGAATGAAACTGTAAAATTTGGTCTATATAAGTGCTACTGAAGTGGAGATTTCTGGCTCAGTTTAGGAGAAATATTAAAAAAAGCCTTTAAAGATATGTATTGTAATTGAAATCTACAGACACAGATAGATAAAGTGCAATAAAAGAAACACTTAAAAGTGTAGTTTGAATGTTTTCTTTCCACTATTCTGAAAAAGAAAAAGAAAAAAACTTTATGAAAACCCCAAAAGCTGCATGGGAAAACAGCATTTTTGCCTGTATTATCTCACTTTCAAGATCAAGATTTTCTCTGAGGCATTGCAAGTTCATCAGGCAGTAAAATGCTTATAATACTAATAAATCAAGCATTCCTAAACAGTATTTTTAGATTTGTTTTATTAAATTATGATGATAGTGTACCATATTGTGAGTATTAACTTACACAGGTAGGCCATGATGATGGTTGCATGATGATGATGCAACCTTAAAAAAGTCCCCTTTGGCAACTTGTATAGACTTTCATTTAATTACAACTGATGTAAGCAAAAGCATATGGTCAAGATACAGCTTGCTTTGTCAAAATAATAAGAGAGTATATTTCTCTTATATTTATATTAGATAACCAAGAAATCCCTAAAACACACACACACACACACATACATATATATTTCATCTTATCTGCTCATCCATTGTGCTTTTTCCCTATGTTAGCAATTTTGAGTGCTGGGAAATCAAGCAGAACTACATGGAAACAAAGACCCCTGGCCAACTGTTTCTCCAAGGTAGGTATCCTGTTCCGACTGAACCGCACTGACCACTAGAGCAGGGTTCAAAGCCTGCCATTCATACCACTATCTAAACTGATGGCTTTTCTTTGTTGTGACATGCTCCCTGACCTGGACTGACGGTTGGTATGCAATAGATGAAAGTGATTTTATAATCATCACAAGTCATTTTGAAATACTTTTTAAAGAAAAGGTTTGAAAAAATAAAAAAGTACTGAATATTAATTCACATAGGGATATGATTAGGTTTTGGTTTAATGTTTGTTTCTTGTAAATGATTATGCAATTTTTTTTTACTGTTATTACAAAAGTACATGTAACATTTCTGAAGGACCCCAAAACAAAGTGTTTCTGTGGACAAATAGCCTACATTAGATCCAGCATGTGTTTGAACACTTTAGACACACTTACATCATTGCATTTACAACAACATATTTGCAAATGATGCCATAAGATAACATTTTTATTTTCATAGCCATCAGGTTCTCTTAGGTGACCTATAGCGGAGTTCCACTAAATTTGACAACCAAAGTGTCCAAATACCATGTTTATTATTATTATTATATTTATTGTTTATAATATAACAAACATATTCTTAATCAATTACTCTTGGTTATATATTTATTTTTCAAAGCTAATACAATGGCATTCAATAATGTCAAATTTCTTATGCAGGTAAGAGACCTGCTGAGAATGTGGACATAATGGTGCTGGAGACGGACTCTTATGCTACGGTGGTTTTTAAGAGAGCAGGGGAAATTACCATGAAACTATATGGTAGGTGTTCTAGTCTCTATTTTAAACTTCTCACACCCATCCTTTTGTGTCACAATGGCACCACTGTGAAAAAGAGTAGGCTACTGTTTTAATTAAATACTTATTTCGTTTTTTAAAGGACGGTCCAGTGAAGTGCCTGATAATATATTGGAAAAAATTTGAGGATCGTGCAAAGACATTTAATTTGGGATTGGACGTCATTTTCCAGAATCCTGACTACGGTGAGACAATGGACAAATTAAATGTAAATAATAAAATAGAAACACAGCGGATGAACACTCTTTTTAATTCCTTTTGATTCTTTTCCAGGGTTCTGCGAGTCCACAGAAAAGGTCCTGGGTAAGAGCTACATTTTTTGTTTTTACATCGGCTTAATGTTTAATTAACTGACATTTACAGACCGACATGTATATTGTTAAGTAATTTAATAACTGTTGCATTCTAAACATCGCACTGCTGATTCTAATGTCATATTCATGCACGAGTCGTTATTTTGTAATGGATCTTTTTAATGATTCAAGTGAACCGATTCGAAAAGCGTATATAAATAGGCCTACTCGACAGTAATGGAGAACATTGACACAACATAAAACGTATTCGAATACAGAATCATAAAATGTTTAACGGAATACTTATTTCACTACGTGCAATAACACGTATAATCGCGCGCGAGGAGTTTTGCGAACTGATTCAATTGAATCGTTTAAACGAACCGATTCGCGAAGTGAATCAGATTTCTCGACTTCTCTGTGCCGTTGCTTGGTTTTAGGCTTATTGGCTGAAATAAATGTTTTTTACCCTACAAAATGAACCAATCCGGCCATTTGTGCATCACCCGCTTGTGTTAGAATCACGTTTTCTGTTTTACAGAAAACAGAAACTGTATGACTTTGTATAATCTCTATTTTTGCCTAGCAACCTAACAACACTATCATTGCTTTGTCCACCAGATCTGACCTAAGACTGACTGGCCAGCATCTTGTGAGCACTGTGAGAAAGCATTGTGCTAAGAATTTCACCAATAAATTTTTTTGTGTGTTAACTTTACATTTTCTAGTTTGATCATGAACAATAGCATTCAATATAATAGGAACCAATAGATATTGAGGAAAGCGCATCCCTCTAATCTTTAATTTATTTGGGTTACATCCTTGCTAATAAGTATCGAAAGTGGTGATTTTGCTCAAGCCATTCTAGATGTAACAGAAGAGTACTTATACAACAAGGCAAAGGCATCTTGATGAGGTTAGTGTGGTTTGTGATGTAACTCTCAAAACAAGACTCTGCCTGCCCGCCCTTTCAGAGTTACACAACACAAGGGGTAAACATGTTACATATCCAACATTCCAAAAAATATCCTACGGTAATCATTTTCATATGGAAAAACATCTAACACAGAAATGAACTAGTTTTAACACAAAATTGCTTTTTGCAGCAACTGTCACAATCACCCGGCTGGACAAGAGCTTGATTTGGATAAAATGCATTTTGATATTTTGCATTGCATTTTATTACAAGCACTTTTGGACTTAACATCATCTCCAGTCTACACTACCATTCAAAAGTTTGGGGTCAGTAAGATGTTTTAAAAATAATTTAATACTATAAATAATTTATTCAGCAAGCATGCTTTAAATTAATCAAAAGTGACAGCAAAGACATGTAAAATATTAAAAAAAAAAAAAACGCTGTTCTTTTGAACTCTCTATTCAAGGACTCTTGAAAAATGGTTTAGACAAAAATATTTAATAGTTAAACTTTGATAATAATAAAAAAAAAATCTGGAGCAGCAAATCAGCACATTAGAATGATTTCTGAAGGATCGCGTGACACTGAAGACTTTGCCATCACAGGAATAAATGACATTTGAAAGTATTAAACAGAAAACAGTTGTTTTGAATCATAATATTTAACAGTATTACTGCATTTCTGGTCAAATAAATGCAGCATGGATGAGCAATAAGAAACTTCTTTCAAAAACATAAAAAAATGTTTGCATGTATTGCATGAAGGCCAAACAGGGACATCAGACTGCAGGGTCATAAAAAGCATAAAAAAATACCCTCAAACACCCACATATACCTGAAAAAATCTACACGTGCATGTTGCAAGTTGTGTAACGACTGTAATTATCATTCCTGCTGTGTCTTCGGAGGTGGGAGGGACTCAAGGAGGGAGGGTTTGGGGGGCTCAAATCTGAGGATAAAACAGGGGCTGCCTTTCGTCTCCTCTACACAGCCAACTTTGCCTTCTGACCTGCATACAGAGAGAGAACCTACACTTCTGCAGCCATGACGACTGTCGTTTTAAAGATGCTGTGCGTTCTGCTCTGTGCAGTGTTCGCCTCTGCTGATGTCATGCCCATGACTGACTTCGACATGGAAAAGGTAAAAAATGAAAATATACAGGCATTTAACCTTGCAGTTTTACTGTAAAATACTATAAATGAAAGCATCTAAGTGTTAGAAGTGAGTTTTAGGGCTATTCTCAGGTTCGGTTTACTCTTAAAAAGGTTCTTTAATGCCATCAGTGGTTACATGAAGAAACTTCCATGGAATCTTTCCATTCTTTATAGTGTAAAAAGGCTCTTTAGATTATTAAAATATTCTTCACAGTAAAAAAAAAAAAGGTTCTTTTAAGAAGTAAAGGTTCTTTAGGGAACCAAAAAGGTTCTTCTTTGGCATCACAGAAAAAAAAAACATTTTGAAACCTTTATTTTTAAGAGTGTTGGTCTAAAATAGTTATATTCTGTGCAGATTGGAGGAAAGTGGTATCTCATTGGCTTTGCTACAAATGCTAAATGGTTTGTCAGTCACAAGGCTGACATGACGATGGGAACTGCCATGATGGTGCCTACCGAGGACGGAGACCTTGATCTCAGTTACACTAATCTGAAGTAAGCTCAAGCTAGCTTTAGTGTTCAAGGAGAAGAGTTTTGATAAATGTTCTTATAATTACAAAAATAACTTCATTTGTTTCTCAGGAGTGATGGTTCCTGCTGGAGAATGACACACCTCGCCAAGAAAACTGAGACTCCAGGACGTTTTGTCTTCTACAGCCAGCGTAAGTCGTCCTGCTTTTGCTTCAGCTTATGGTCAGGTTTTTTTTTTGTTCCTTTGGCCTGAACGTGTTCAATTTTCTTCAGGTTGGGGAAATGAAAACGACATGCGCGTGGTTGATGCCAAATTTGATGAGTACGCTCTCATTCACACTATCAAGACCAAGGGAGGTGTTTCTGAGGTTCTCAACAAACTCTACAGTAAGAGCTCGATTTGTCCAAATTGCACAATTTAGCTGTAACGTTTTCATGAATAAACGCTAAATGGACCCTGAATGTGCCATCAACAGTTCGTTCCACAGTACTTTCTGATGACTTGAAGGAGAAGTTCAGGCAGTTCTGTCTGGACACTGGCATCCTTGAGGAAAACATTGCCATACTGCCAACAAATGGTATGTTTTAAGATTTTAATCAATCCTCAATGATGTATTTTTTTTAATACTTGACATTTTTGCTAACTTTGTACCTGCTGTTCTGCAGGAGAATGCTCGGTTGCCTAAGTGTCTCGACCAAAGTAAGACAACTTCAGCTGGTCTGATCATTTCACCTGAAAAACAGATGTGAATTAGCTGGCCTTCTGTCTGCTTGGTTTTTATCGCTTTCATTTTGTATGGAAACATCAGTTTTTCTTTTTGCCTTAAACACAGTTGTTGTGCTCACGATGACAAACCAATTTGCAACTACAGAGCAAGAATGTCTCAAGCACGGGGACAGAAAGGCAAAGTATCACCTTACCATCCAAATTATGCATTTGAATAAATTGAACTCAGTTCTTGATGTTTCTGTATTGATGTGTGATTTTTTTTCCCCCTGTAAATGTGTCAAACATGTTTCATAACCGATATGGTATACCTGTAAACAAATTTTTATGAACAGTGCTTTCATTTTTTTTTTTGTCTTTGGTGGTTTTGTTTACTGCTGGATTAAATTGGTTTACAAATGACAAATGTTGGTGCGATTCATTCAAATTCTCCATTTACATTTAATTTTATAATGAAAAATTAAAAAAATAAAAACGTTTTGGACACAAAATACTGTTTATTACTTCTGTATTTACAAATATTTCATATACACATAACATAAAATTTTTTAGAATCTCTTTATTCCAAATTATACATTTTCAGTATCTGTGTAAAAAATAAAATTTACCCTAAACATCTGAATAATAATAATAATAATAATTTGAGAGTGAGTTTTACAACAGACCAAAAGCCAAACGGCCACATTCAAGAAATACACAAACTAGCGTCTAAATTAAAACAAATTTAGAGAACCAGCCATTCGGCCTGATTTATTGTCTGCACACTCTGATTAAACCTGAAGATCTCTTGTGATTGGAGTATTATTTGCAATATAATTTATTGGAAATATCACCAAGAAACCCTGTCCTACATTATAAATTCATTGTCTTAAATAACAGCTCTTATTAGTAAATTAATGCACCAGTGCTGTCGATGCATTTTGGTTAGAGAACCAAAACGAAAGATGGGTTTCCCAAAAGCCTATCTGGTCTGAACAGCCATTTTTTTCCTCAAATTAAAACAAATTTTTAGCAGCCACGGCATAAGTCGAGTTTTTCAGTTCTCTAGAGTTAGACATTCTGCTCGTCTGAAGCTAAGATACCAGTCGATAAAGCATTAGAACCGTAGTTTAAAGACAACGGACTTCTTCAAGGCCTTATTCCCAAAACTTTTGCACTTGTAAACGCATGTGCACAAACACGCCACAATCACCAAAGCTGTTGTTTTGTGTAACATGCAATACAGGAGTCATAATTCAAATTTATAACCCGACGCTCCAACATAAAATTACACAGTATGCATGTCGCCCACCCTTGATGGATTAGTACGCAAGTTTATCTATTTTCGCAATTAATCTAAAGCTCGTCAGCAGATTTAGACTCTCAAGAAAGGTTGATTCAACTTTAAAAGAATGTATCTTCAGAACATTGACTTGAACTTTACAGCAGTGTAACTTGCAACTGAACACAAGAGATGGTTGTTTTTTTTCTGTATTTCCTTGCACTTTCAGCCTGTACCATCAGGGATCCAAAAAAGCCTCTAGTTGGCTTTTGGCCCTGAAGACCACAGCTACATCAGAACAGAGCTTTTCCTAATGGGTTTCTGATTGCAAAGGTCACATAGTAGGCATTAGGTCTTTATGATGCCGCATAATGTGCTGATTCTTCTCTGACGGTCTGCGGAAACCTTTCGAGCAGAAGTCACATCGGTGAGGATAGTCTTTGGTGTGAATGGAGATCACGTGCCTCTTGAAACCAGACGCGTCGCCCGTGCTGTAGTCGCAATACTGGCATTGATAAACCCGGCGTTCCCGGTGGCCCTTGGACAGACCGGCGCCGCCCAAGATTTTCTTACCTCCATGAGCACTGAGTCTAAACGTCTTCTTAAGAGTCTTTTTGTCAGGAAAGGCCTGCTGCTCCTTGGTGTGCACTGACAAAATATGCCGGCTGAGAACAAATGGATCTGCGATTTTGAAATTGCAATGCCTGCACTGGTGTAACTTCTTAGCCTTATGGGCAGCCGAGTGCTTTTTGAGCTCCGACGGCCGGTGGAAGCCTTTTCCACAGACTTCACATTTATGTGGATAGTCTTTGGTGTGAACTGAAATGATGTGGCGCTTCAGGTCACTGGAATTGGAGCTTTTATGGTCACAGTGGGTGCACTGGTGCGTTTTGGCCTCCTCGTGTGTCAGGCCGTGTTGTAACAGCTCGTCGGGTTCAGCAAACGTCTGGAAACAGCGCTCACACTTGTAGGGCATCTCTTTGCTATGCTTGGTCTTCACGTGTGTCTTTAAGTTGGACGAGTCGGCTGATTTGTAGTCGCAGTAATGGCAGGAGTACGGTTTCTCACCGGTGTGGGTTCTCATGTGTTTTTTCAGCTCTGAAGGATGCCGGAAACCCTTCCCACACTCCACACAGATATGCGGGAAATTCTTGCTATGAACGGCGAGTAGGTGTCGGTTTAGAAGTCCTTGTTCTGCCGTCTCGTATTCGCAGAACTTGCATTTGTGCATTTTGGTGGTGGGTGGTGGGATCTGAAGCTTGGATTCTCGGTGGTGGTGCTGCAGACGGTGAGAGAACAGCGCCGCCTGCTGGTGGAACTCTTTTCCGCAGACTTCACACTCAAATGGTGCTTTACTGCTGAGGGTGTGGATCTCCATGTGGTTGTGGAGACTGGCTTTTTTGTTAGTGGTGAAATCACAGTCTGTACACTGGTATTTCTTTCGGTTTACGACATCCTGATGGTGATTCTTGGTGTGGCGCTTGAGGAAACCACGAGACTTGAACTTCTTCCCACATAGCATACAAGGGTACACCGTAAGAGGCTGGCCGTAAGGTCCAATGATGATTGCTGAAGTTGAAAAAGTAAACCAAAATGAATATATATGCTATAGCTGAAAGATATGGGGGTCTGTAGGATTGTTTTAATCCTTTTAAAATCTCTTCTCTCTTTAAAAGCTGTATTTATTTAATAATAAAAAAATACA